TCAGAGGGTGCGGCCGAGGTCAAAAAGACTTCTAGCCTATCAACGTATCTATTACAACGTATCTATTACAACGTATCATTGGGTCAGAGGGTGCGGCCGAGGTCAAAAAGACTTCTAGCCTATCAACGAGGTCAAAAAGACTTCTAGCCTATCAACGTAAAGTATTTAAATCATATTTGATAGTACCCTCTTAAAATATATTAAAAAATACAAATAAATATTATAAATAATAATTAAATAATAAAATTTCTTTTTTAAAATCTACATTTTTTAATATAATAATGGGTTTTGTAGACGCTCCTCAAGCACCCTTCGCACACCCTTTGTATGTACATTTGTCTTTTGTTAGACCAATCTTTTGATACCAAGTTGTATGTATTTCGATAAAAATTGTTATAATGTTATAATAACCAAGTTATAATGTTTTAAGTTAATAAAAACTTAAAATTTGATCACAGTTTTTTCAAGAAGTTCATGTATCAAAAAATTCGGTACTCAAAATGTCATAACTTTTTGTAGAACTTTATTAATTTTTTAACCTTTAAAATACTGATTTGAAGATCTTTCCAATGATATATAACAGTCTAGTGTTTGATCAAATAAAAAATTTCATGTCACCTACCTAGTTTAATTATGAGGAACTTATTAATTTTGATACTTTAAATATGATTTTAATTTGGTTGCAACATAAAGATTTGAATTCAAGATTTAAATTAAATAATTTAAATCTTGAATTTAAATCTTTATGTTGCAAGAATAAATTAAATACATTTATTCGTATTCACTCGTTTATGCTCTTAAGAAATGATTATTTTTATTGTGTTTCAAAAAAACAAAAAATACTTTTATTTCCATACCTAGAATTTTTAATACAATTGCAAACAATTGTTCAGTGATATACTGTTGCATTGGATACAAAAAATACTTTTATTTCCATACCTAGAATTCTTAATACAATTGCAAACAAGTGTTTAGTGATATACTGTTGCATTGGATACAAAAGTAAATCATCAAATACAAATATGAGTATATTTATTTATATTTTTTGTTTTCCTGCCGAAAAAAAACTATATAAAGCATGTCATGGAGACAATAACTTACCAATAGCTGCAGTGGCGGATTAAAACTTCTTGCGGCCCGGAACTATTTTTGTTTTTGGAGGCTTTTAGGCCAGAGCCTAAAAATGAAAAAAAAAAAAAAAAGTCTTCTAAAATTTTTGGGAGCTCCTAAATTTGCGGCCGTGGCGCAGTGGTCACAGTGCTTGCTTTATAAGCAGGAGATCGAGGTTCAAAATGAGCTCTGGACATATTTTCGCGTCACGGTAAGAAAGGAGACGTGAACTTTTTGGTTAAATGCATTTCCGTGCTGCACAGTGAAAAGACCGTTAGGTCTTCTTGGGACACCTAAATAACAATAAAAAAAATAGAAATAAAAATTTAAAAAATTGCGAGGCCCGGGGTTATAGCCCCCCTTAGCCCCCTTCCTTTAATCCGGCACTGAATAGCTGTAAGGCCAAAGGTGGGCATACTGAAGACAAACTTGAACACCTTCTTGTTGGTAGCAACTGATATACGCCGTTCTTTTGTTTAGTGCTCATGAAAACTCGTTAACATACTTGCTCCACGCCAACTGTACTATTAAACATTGAGTATCAAACATAATATATTTTTCGTAACTTAGCATGATAAAACTGAATTTGGTCTGTAATTTAAAGAACCTGAGTCATTGCCAGACAAAAAAATATCTGTAAATACACTGAGGTATAATAACATCTGTCCAATAACATCTGAAATTTCACTCATTTCTAATATTATTTGAGTACAAAGTATATGAATACTACAGATAAAGTTACATCTTTTTAATTATCAAAGTATAACAACATCTGTGCAAATACTGCAGCAAATTTTACAGATGCAATTTCATCTTTTCAATTATATTAAATATAACTGCAGGATTTTATGAAATTTTTAAATCATAATACATTATTTTAAACAGATGTTACATAAATGGTTTTTTCAAGATTTTGTCACATCTTAATAAAAATAATAATTCTAAATGCATTATTTTAACTAAATGTAGTTACATTTAAGATTTTTTTCAGGTTTAATTACATCTAGAAGAAATTCTTTCAGATGTTATTGGATATGGAGAATAAAAACCAGATGCAGTTGCATCTTCCTAAAAATGTTGTTCGAGGTCATTGAATTTCGAAAAGACAAAAATGCATAGATGAACTTGGACTACTCTACAGATGTTGTTGGACAGATGTAGGAATTTTTTAACCGAGAAAGTACTTGATTACAAATTTTTTTTATGAATACTTATTCGAATTTTTTTTTTTTATCAAATAATTTTTTTTATTACGTTTCATGTCTTTTTAGCATTTTTTAGGCAACTTTAAATTGTTATACTATTGTACTTAAATATAATAAAGAATTTTTGAGAATTTTATAGTTTTTTCAAATATGTTTTTATATAGTTTGTAGTTCGCTTCATCTTTAAAATTTTTTTTTTCTAAGAATGACTTTTTTAATACTTTTTTGCTTTTTTCTTTTTTTGACTTGGTATTTACAAAAACATATGAGGAAATGCTTTTTTATATTGCAAAATATCTTACAAATAGGAAATCATTGATGGGCATTTTTGCTTCACTGACATTTTAAGATACGAAACAACGTTGTTTTTTTTTTAAATCTTCAAATTTTTGTATTGAGTTTTCATTGATCTGTCACATTTGATTTGGAAGAATATTAATTGTTATACTTTTACTTATTAAAAAAGTAAGAAAATTATCTGTCCGCCCCACGGACAATATATTTCTAAACAATACCAGTGAAGACATGTAAAAGTTGTAAAAAATTTCAGGGATTTTATTAAATATTAAAGTAAAAGAATTCTTAGTTTTTTTGATTAGCTAATTTTTTGTTGAAATAAAAGTATGTTTTCTATATAGTTGCTCAAAAACAAGTCAAATGTTTATTACAACATACAATTTGACGTACTGTGCAATTACTGCACAAACTTAAAAGAAGAGGCGGTTTTTCGTAACATGCTGTTACTTAATACAAGTGAAATTAATGCAGAGAAAAATTTTAGCTATTGTTTTGATGACAATTTCTGTTATTTAATCTACAAAAAAAATATAATAGCAGTCATTCTTAAATTTCTTTGTGACAACTGTTATATTATTAGTTACATAACAATACGTTTGAACTAGGAAGATAATACAATCTTATGGAACCATTGCTCTTTTTAACCATCTCAACCTGTGTAGTTTTCTAGACTATTAAAAGTTGAATAAATAAAGGAATCCCAAAAGCACATTTTAAAAGAAAAACATGATGTTGAAAAATAAATAAGTTAGAGACATTAACAATTTTTGTGTCTAATAACAAAATATTCATGCTAACTTTTTCTTTATCTATGTCGTCAATTGATGGCAATATTGTAAATACATTAACTGGAACAAATTTAATTTAAGTGTGTATGACATGTAGAGATGAACTCTAAGAAAACTCTCAATAGTTTTCTTAGAGTTCAGGAATTTAAAATCACAGAAACATTCAACCCTAAATGTAATACATTAAAGTATGGCTTTTGTCCGTTACATGCTTAGATGCGATTTTTTGAATACATTGTTCCACATCATATAAATATGATTTTTTCATAAAATAAAAGTAAATTATATAAATATAAATTATGAGAAATAAAAAACATTTTTTACTTTGTGTTTAAATCAGAGTTATTTGTTTATGTCTAAAAAATTCGGTCTCAGAAACTTTAGTGTGATATGAAAAGTTTTTACCATTTTAAAATATTTTTTATATTTAAAGGACCTAAAAATTTTATTTTAATTACGTTATGCAACAAATATTGATTTCTGTTTTCTCGACCCGATTTTTTAGAAAAAAGTTGTAAAAAAATTTTGTTTTAATAAATAGTAAGGTTATGTGAATGGCACAGCAGTATTTTTGCATTTTGTCTACTTGTTTCTCCGCGCAGTGTCCTGTGGAAATAAATACCCGTCCATTCTGATGACTCACTTTAAGCATCTTGACTACACCAGATAACTACTTAAGAGACAACATATTGCTGAATGCCTTAAAGTACTACGACTACGGATAGTATTTGATTGAACACTTCTAAATGATATCATTCCTTATGAGGCTTCATAGCAATTTTACCAACTTTCCTAAATTTTTTTTGCCTTTTGGACATCTATGACATTAAAATGCACTACAAGGAGAATGGACCGAGTTATCTATTAACAAAAGTAATTTGAAGTGGCAGGTCTCATCGATCTAAGATCTTTTACCGATTCTGTCCAAGATTAAGATTTCAGCTGGTATCATCAAGACCACAAGCTGGTATCATCAAGACCACATCAAGAAATATAACAAATGTAATGAGTTTGCTAAACTCCTGAACAGAAAAAAGAGAACAATCTGGGAGATTTCTGTTGCATTTGTTTGTAGTTACCTGGGAAATCATAAAGCAAAAAATATGTGGACCCCATTAGGATTTTTATAATGAATATCCAAAAAAGCGATGTTAAACCTCATTAAAAAATCTCAATAAATTCTTGAAAAACAAGGGGCTTTACTCAGAGGGATCAAGGCGAGCTTTTTTATCAATTTATTTTTGATTTCGAATGTCCTTATTACATGGGGCTGTCAATTAACTATGTCATATAACTTTTGACAATTTTTACTTTCTTCTCCTTGTCAACAACTTGTCAAACTTTCAGAAACCCCATGTAAAATTACGCCAACATTCCCCCCTCCCCAACCTCCGTCTTCTCAACTACCTTAATAACCAAATTAAAATGGAAATCCATAGTTTAAATATATTAGTTTACAACTAAAGCAAAAAAATAATCGAAAGTAAAATGTAATGTAAATGTAAGTAAAATCAGACTTACTATTAATTTACGGAATATAGAAACAAAAGAAATAATAAAGAATAATTTAAGAATTTCCTTAACAAGAAATTTAAACAAATTTTTTCTTTGAAAGTAGTGGAATTTTATATACATATAAACATATTTACATCTGCCATAAAGTTTATTATATTACATAAATAATATTAAATAAATTACTTGGAAATGTATGGAAAAATATGGACTATTAATTGCGTAAAAATTAATTATAATAATACAGCTTATTAAAATTTAGCTCGTTTCATAAATTTAATGCGATAACATAAGTGCAATGTCAGCTCTTCTTATTTTTCCATCTTTATCAGGAGTGATTACAGTGAGCAATGCGTTTCGATTCGCACTTATAGCTTCAGAACTTTCTTCCTATAACGCATAAATAAAAATCCGTTTTAGGATGAAGGTGAGGAAATACTGCAGCCAGTGACGTAGCAAATGAGTTGGAGGACCAACTACTCCCCCCTTCCCCCCGCAACAAGAAAAAATAAAACCCTGCTATTAGGTCCCTAAATTATTTCAAAAATGCTCCTTAAATTTGCTGGGTCTTTCCTAATCGGTGCTGAGGGAGAGCATGGCCACGGCTCTGATTACAGCTATATAACAATAGTTTAATATTGTAAATCAGGTGACGTTTTTGATTTAAAAATGAAATTTAAAATAGTTAAAAAAACTACCATTTAAAAATCATAAAATCTTAAAAATAATTTAATAAAATAATTTAATCTTAAAAATGTATTTAATATAGTTTTTAAAGTATCTAAATTATTTGTATTAAAACTCATTTTATATTTTAAATCTATAGCAGTATCGGTCATACGTATCTTTTGCAAAAATAGAAAATATTGTAATATATGCTTTGAGATTTATTTTTTGTATAAAACTAAAAACCTTCATGCTTTCAGGTTTTTAGTTTTATACAAAAAATAAAAAAATTTACCAATCCAAGTTGTTGAAAAACATCTTTAAGAAGATCATCAAGATCATTCAGAGATACTGAATCGTTTCCAAACTAAAATTATAATTGTTACGTAAATTAATTTATCAAAGATCAACTATGATTTATAAAACAAATTAAAAAAAAAAATTTTAAACTTAGTCATTTTAAAGGTTATCTCTACAGGTTTCCATTTTATACCCTTATATTTTATTACATATATTATCCTCTATAGGTTTTCATTTTATACCCTTATACTTCAAATATTGTATCCTCTTTAGATTTCAATTTTATACCCTTAATGTCGTTATGTATATTCTCCTCGATAGGTTTCCATTTTATTTTTTTATTTTTTTTATTTTTTTCTTGAAAATATAAAAAAATGCACTAACAAAAGAGCTCTTGATTAACGAAACTAACAGGAAGACAAAGTTATTTTTTTTTAATAGTAGAGCCAAGCCCGAAACCCCGAAAATCGAAAATGAGAAGGCATTTTTTTTTTTTAATTATAAAATAATAAATATTTAAAATTACACATCTCTGTGTTTTTTGTTTTTTTATTTTTGTGCCATTGTCCGGAAAGAAATCGAGAATAAGAAAAAGATTTCAGAAGAAGTTGATTAAGATTAATTAATTATTTTAAGTGAAAAAAGATTTTATTAAGTAAAATAGAAAAAAAGGTACAAGACTTTAACACAAATACCACGTCACGAAAGCTACAGAGAAACATGCAAATAATATTATATATCATAAAGTAAGGGCTGGTAGTGGTTGTCTAATCATAAATAGCAATACTTTTGTTGTAAAAAAGATATTTTATTTGCAGGGAACAGGAACACTCAATTAAACATTTAGTTTTTGCTATGATCAAGTGTATTTGTTCAACTCATATGTTTAGTTTCAGGTTCCCATTCTCTATTTGACAAAAAACGTTATTGATACAAAAAGTTTCACAGAAAATGTCCTCAGTGTTTCTGCGGACATGATAATTATATTTTAAAGTAATTATATTTCTAATGTTTCTAATAATTATCCTGATCACTACCGCTGGGTCAATTATGGAATTGCTAAACATATTTTGGCATCTGCTGTTCCATATTCCACTCATAATCGTTTGAGTGATTGTCAATAGCAGCTCCGAGGTAGGGTTTTTCTCCGATAAATTCGCAATTTCAAACAAAAATATGGAATTTATTGGAGATAAGTTGTTTTGGGATGTCAAGTAGTTATATACATGTTTAAAATATTCCCATATTGCAACAGAAGGAGGACAGTAGGCAAAAATGTGCAGGTTGTCCTTGTTATTTTTAACGATCTGTGGCCTTGTGCAGCGGAAGGTAAGCTGTTATGAAGAAATCGAAAGAGGATGTTTTGTGTTGGTCCGTAATCGTGGGAGGTAAAAATTTTTTCCAAATCTGGGTCCACGGCATTGTTGTTTTCTTTTAATACCCTTATATTTCAATATATATTATCCTTAACAGGCTTTTTTTTATGTAGGAAATTACTAAAGTATCATCTGATACTGGTCTTTTTAATTGTGGTTGGCATTTTTATATTCTCATATTTCTACTTTTTTTATTATTTTATATTTATTACTTTTGTAGATAATACTTTTTCTCGTGTTTATCAATAGTACATAGTTTCAATGTTTTTATTGCATTATTTTTTATCAGAGATTAGAAATATTAAAAAGAGCTCCATAAAAACAAAGATTTTCTGTTTTATCTAAACTAAAAATCAAAAATAAAAATGATGTAAAATATTAAATACAAACTTTTTTTTTTAATCATCTTTACTTCTAACAAGGCTGCAAGCAACCACAATTAAAGTTGGAAGTTAAAAGATAAAGAATGTAAAGCAAGAGAAGAGAAAAGATGAAGAATATAAAGCAAGATAACGAATAACTGACAACTTAAAAGATTGCTGACTATATGAATTAGGAAAATAAGATGAAGGAAGCGAATTCTAAAGAACTGATGTTTGAAGAAAAAAACTAGAGAAATAAGAATTTTCAGAGCACTTAAGAACAGTCACAGTAAAAGGATGAGATTTATTCGAATGACGAGTAACACGAGAATAAATTTCAGTAGACGGCACCAGAGTCGCTAGCTCTTTAGAACAGCGCCCGTTATATCATTTATAGAAAGGAGAAAGAGGAGCAAATATTAGGACGATATGAAAATGGTTGAAGATTTTCTTCAAAAACAAGTCGACCTATGGTTTAGAAAGCTATTTTTTGAAAAAGAAAAGCTTGAAAGAAAAAGAGGATCATTTGAAGATCCGCTACAGATAATGTGACAATATAAAGAATAGAATCCGGAGTAACAAAGAAGCATGGACAATAAAGAGATGCAACCTTAGCAGCCACAAATTTTGCAATGGATTTGATATATGGTTTCCAAGAAAAATTGAAAGTAAGAGTTAATTCAAGAAGGCAAATGGTAGATGACTTATCGAGACTAACCGGGTACGTTACCGTTCATAAATATAAAAAGATCTAGATTGTTGCAATTACAATTAGCTGAAAAAAATTGCGTTTTATTTAAGGTAAAGTTCACCAGCTAATGTGGGCCTATGCTACAGCAAAAGTGAGATCATTTTCAAGCTAAAATGTCTTCATATCAAGGCACGAATAAATGGTAGTATCATTAGCGAACAATGCCACCTTAGATGTAAAATTTCTCGGAGATTATTATTGTAAATTTAAAAACGCATAGGACCAAAGATAGAACCTTGAAGTACGCCTGAAGTTACAGGAAATGAAGGAGAATATTAAAAAAATAATTAATAAAAACAATTAAAATGATTTATAAATAAGTTTCTGATACAATTATATTTGACATTATGATAAATAACATGAATATTTTACTTGACACAATTTCATTTTCAAATAATTCAAGTGAAGTTGATATTTATTGTAATCTACAAGTAAATTAATTCAAGAAAAGCCGATATTTGTTGCAACCTACAAGTGAAAAAAGTTAAAAAATAGTTTTTTTATAAAATTTTTCGCACTTTACAAAAACACTTTAAAAAGTCAGTCACTAAACTAACTTTATAATGTGCTCCTTAAGGTTCGGTTTATATTTTCTAACTTTCCACATTGCCTATACAGAATAAAATTTTTATTTAAAGTTTGATCTATTGAATACATGCTTTATAAAAAATGGTGTAGTGTATGCTGATATTTATACTGATGAAAATTACATCAAGATAATAAAATTCAGCGCCTAATTCTTTAACGTTTTTTCGAAATTTACTGTAAAAAAATTTTAAACAATACAATAGAAGTTACTACCTATTTACAACTATATAGTAAAGTTAAATAATTGCAAAAAATTAAAAATAAAAAATTATGTTTTATAAGAATTTTCATTTAAACTGTTTAATTTTTAGGCAAATGTACATTTTAGTAGGGAAAATATTATTATTAAACTATTACTGAAAAAAATAGTTTAAGGGGAACTTTTTTTTTACATTTCAGTTATTACTAACTTTTTTACAAGATGTGCATAATCATTAACAATAACAGTATAATTTTACTTAACTTGTGCACTTATTAAAAGCAACTATATACTTGTACAAAAGAAACTATGTACTTGTAGATAAAAAACTTTTAATGCATTTATGTTTATATTAGAAACTAATTTTCCTTTGATATTTTACGCGTAAAAGTAAATTGTATGCATTTTAGCATTCACTAGTTAAAAAGTTCTTATAAAAAATTGCAACGGAAACAAAAAAAAAACTTTTGTTTTTTTTGTTATTTCCCTTTCGTTAAATACGTTCATAAGTAAGTACGTTCTAGTAAGTTGTAAGTTCAAAAGTAAGCGCATTCTAAGTAAGTAAACAAGTTCATTTTTTATAAGTACTATGTACTTGTAAAAAATTAATTTTTATTGCATTTATATCTGTAATAGAATTTTTTTTGAAATTTGACCCAAAGTAAATTGTATGCACTTGGTTATTCATATGTTAAAAAAACTCTATTGAAAAAAAGCAAAAGAGACAAAACAATAAGATCATTTTTTTATTGTTTTGTCTCATTTTATTTTTTAAAAGTGTTTTTTAAACTTATGAATAGCAAAATGCACACAGTTTACTTGTAAAACATGCATTTACACATTACTGAGTAAAACTTCAAAGAAAAAATAACTTCAAATACATGTTTCACTCTTAAAAAAGTATTCTTAGCATAAAATTTTATTTTATTTATATTTTTTAAAGCAAAAATACCTGCTGGTATTTGCGTTGCCAGCTGACATGTCAGTTGATGGAAAAAAACACGGATTTACCGTGGTCAAGACAAAGTTAGACGATCCAGACATTGACGGATCCTGAAAGTTTAGGTGGAAGGATGGGGGATGTTGATCAGTGGCGGAACTACTGGACGCAGGACCCTGCGTTGCGGGGGGGCTTACCAGCTATAGGGGGCCCTCATATAAAAAAAGTTATACTTTCAATAATATTTATACTATAAAACTCTTTTCCGCAAAAAAAACATTCTTTTGCGGGGGGGCCCAAATTTTGAAGTTCCGCCACTGATGTTGATATTAAAACTATAAAAAAATAACCTTCTTATATTGACAAAAGGGTTGCTAAATTAAAAACAGATTTGCTTTATTTTAGGTGGGATAGGGGGGAAATGTACACCACCATCCTTAACCTCCCCCACCCTTCGCCCCTAATTCGTCACTGGATACATAAGAAATAATAAGTTATAAATCAGAATTTAGTTGTATTAGTGTTATATTATTGTAAAAAGAAGTAACAGTATAAAAAATAAGACAAATAAGTTATATCAAAAACCATTTAGGTAAAAGCAAAATACATGAGAAGCAAATAAAATTAGTAAGTAATTAGAATACTATTTCCTCTAACACAATTTTTTAAACTTGCTATGTTTTTTTATATAATTTTATTATATATATAACTTATACCATTTTGTTTATATAATGGATCACCTTAACTCTGAATGTTCAAAAGAAAAAATTATTCGTGTTAGATTAGACATAGCAATTATTTGATTAGTATTGGATTGAATGTCTCTAAATTCACCAATTTTCAAAATGTATTAGAAATAAAAACTTCACTTGTGTTTTTGGATTTTTCGCAGAAAAATTTATTAAATTTGATTTTGTTATTCTATTCCATAAAAGTAATAATTTATCTGTAATTTTTCCAAAATGTAAATTTCACCTTATGTAAAACTAGATTGTGCGTTTTTGATTGTATCAACCATCCTAAAACAATACACATTGTAAACACAAAAGTGCATTGGTCTTTGGTCAAATTAGACATTTCTTTATGAATTCACAAGTTTCTATGATAATTTATTTCTTTTTAAATTCAATCACAGGACATGATTACTATTACTTCTCTTAAAAAGAGTAATCTTTTTTTTTTTTACGGTTTGATTACCACAACGGATTGACTCTTTCCAATTATTTAAAATAAGAACCGGAGTCAGACACCATAAGCGATTGAAGGAATGAAAATATCAACCTGCAATTCAACCTCTGAACAACAAAATGGTATCATTATACAGCAATTCATTAAGTTTTTGCTGTGGTGCATTTCATTAAATAACATTAAATTCATTTATAGTAATTATTTGCTAGGCTACATATGATTACATCATTTCAGAAAATTAACACTTTACATCTCATGCATTTTATGCATGTATGAGGCGACTGATGAGTGCATTTGTAAGATGGTATGATCAGGAGCCATAAATGCTTTAACAGTTTACTTATAGATAACTGGTATTGGTTCCCTGTTCCATCTGTGTGTTTCATAAATTTTTGTTTGTTTTTTTAAATAAAACTAGAAAACAACTAAAAAAAATTCAACGTTAAGCTATTAAATTTTTAAAAAACTTACTTGATCATAATATGAAAACCCATTGTCAAAATCAATGCGTGGTATTTTTTCTCTTTCCTAAAAAATTATTTAGTGAATAGTATACGACTATTGCTTTATATTAAAAAGGTCTTAAATCACTAACTTTAAATTTTTTAATGTAAACATACGCAAACACAAATATATATATATATATATATATATATATATATATATATATATATATATATATATATATATATATATATATATATATATATATATGTATATATATATATATGTACATATATATATATATATATATAAATATATATATATATATATATATATATATATATTTATATATTATATATGTATATATATATCTATATATATATATATATTTATATATATATGTATATATATATATATATATATATATATATATATATATATATATATATGTATATATATATATATATATATATATATATATATATATATATATATATATATATATATATTATATATATATATATATATATATATATATATATATTAGGGTGATTCAGATTGTAATAGAAAAAAAAAATGTCACAAAAAACATTCTCCTCAAGGTTGCCTGTGTTCCTTTATCACCTAGGATCATGAGTACCAAAAATTAGACTAAAAGAAGCAATTTTAGGGGTTGCCATGTTTTATAAGATGAATTAACCATTGGTAAAATTTTGTGATTTTCTCAAATTTCGCAAATTTGTTTTTTCATTGTTTATTTATTTATAATTTAGAAATTGATAATATGGCAACCACTAGATCTTCTGCTGAGGTGTGGCTTGTTGGTAAACCTACACAAACTCTGTCGACTGCCAGACTTCCTTCAAGAGGGGATGTTCTTCGGAGGTTGCTCTTCCATCATATAGAAGAGAAACAAGAAGTGAAAAAAAGTATTCGGGCAACAATTGAAGCAGTTCTTGTTATATGGGAGAGAGGAAAAATTCCAACTCAAAGAATTGACAATGCGGAAAGAAAGTTAAAAAAACTTTATGACGAATATCTGCTGCTGAAAAAACACCTAGGATCAAAATTGGACAGCTGTCAAATGAAAGAAGGAATTTTCCACGCTGACCTTGAAGAACTTTTTGATGTTTCAACCAAGAATGCATCAGAAGTTATGAAAAACGATGAAGATAAAGCATTTTTACGTCAGCAGCAAGAAGATCCATTAAGTTGTAGTATGGCAGGAATTGATCGGAATTTAACAGGTAGGGAGGCACGGAAACGAATCCGAGAAACTAAAATGGAATTGAGTCAAAGAAGTCAAGCGGAACTGATGGAAAAAACAGAACTCATTTCTTCTTCATCAGCAGTTGACATTGTGAGTGAAACTAGCTCTAGTTCCTCGGATGATGATGAGTATCAGACTCCTTCCGCTTCCAGCACACTGAGCACAAGTGGTTCAACGAAAAAGAAGATGAAAGTTCTAACAAATAATGTTGTATCATCTCTTGATCGTGTTAATATTTCTGATCGCCGTGCACTCTTCGTGGTTGGAACAGTGTCTCAGGCTCTTGGTCACTCGGTAAAAGATTTATCATTGTCGTACAGCACAATCCGCAGAAAAAGGCGATCTGTTCGTGAAGCGGTGACTACAGCTGACAAGGTTGATTTCTCTCCTGATGATCCACTTCTTCTGCATTGGGATGGAAAGCTCTTACCTGATATCACTGGTGGTCAAAAAAAGTGGATAGAATTGCCATCCTTGTGACTGGTGGTGGGGTGGAAAAATTGCTGGGCGTTCCAAAGATTGATCGAGGTACAGGTGAGCAACAGGCTGATGCTTGCATGAAGGCTCTTAAAGACTGGAAATTGAAAGAACTTGTTCGGGAACTGGTTTTTGACACTACTTCATCTAACACTGGGTTGAACATTGGTGCCTGCACAATAATGGAGCAGAATCTTGACCGTAATCTTATATGGATAGCATGCAGGCACCATATGTTTGAAGTCATGCTTTCCACCATTTTCACGACTGCATTTGGAACCAGTGGAGGACCTGAAGTTGGAATTTTTAACCGTTTCCAGAAACAATGGCCAGCAATCAACAAGGAGGTGTTCACTATAGGGAATAAAGAATTTTACAACTGCGATTTTTTTCTCAAACTCCGTGAAGAAATGGTAGTATATTATAGTGAAGCAATTAAAGGTCAACAACCCAGGGATGATTACTTAGAACTCTTGAATTTGTGCCTTATTTTTCTTGGAGGATCAACTACAACATCGGAGTTCAAAGTGAAGTTTCGGGCTCCAGGTGCAACACACAATGCACGTTGGATGGCAAAAGCTATATATTGTATAAAGATATATTTGCTTCAGGATCAATTTGTTATTACTGCAAAGGAAAAGAAAGGAATAACAGATATAAGTCTTTTTGTGGCATTTGTATACGGACAGTTTTGGAATGAAGCTCCGTTAGCTGAACGAGCACCATTCAATGATGCCAAGCTTCTTCAACGGATTCAAGAATATCCAAATCGTACAATTGCAATTAATGCAGCAAAAGCTTTTCATTGCCACCTCTGGTATTTTTCTGAACATCTAATAGGATTGGCTTTCTTCGATTCCCGTGTCGACAACAACACCAAGAGAGACATGGCAAACAACCTGAAACAACAGCCAAGGCAGAAATCTCTCAAAAGACTTGATGCTGCCACATTCGATTGTCACAGCCCACTGCCTTCCTTCGTCACACAACGCACCGCAGAACTTTTCGATCTAATTTTGAAAAATGGAAAAGAAAAAGCTGAATCATTTTTAATGAAAGAATCTTCAGAGTGGGAAATGGATTCAACATATCTTGAAATGAAGCACAAGGTTAGTCAAATGAAAGTCGTCAACGATTGCGTGGAACGAGGCATAGCACTTATAACATCCTTTAACTCAAGCGTTACGAAGGATGAAAACCAAAAGCAGTTTCTTCTTAGATTGGTTGATCTTCATCGGAAGGAATTTCCAGTTGCATCAAAGTCTACCCTGATGAAGATTACTGTTGAATGATGAAGATGATTGATTTATTATTGCCTAGTGCAATTACATAGTAGTACTATAGTATTGATTTTTTAAGATTGAACATCCACATATATATATATATATATATATATATATATATATATATATAATATATATATATATATATATATATATATATATATATATATATATATATATATATATATATATATATATATATGATATATATATATATATATATATATATATATATATATATATA